AAAAAAAATAACAATCTAAATATTTCAGTGTCTAATTAACTACACTTTGAAAGTTTAAGGAGTACCTACGACTACAACCTAGTAAATCATAAATATAAATTTCAAAATAATGGTACGTCACCCAACCTGCCTTCTTTTATCCAACCACCACTTGCCGTCCCTAATATCTCCTTCACCTTCCCTTAGGCCTTTAGCTTAGCTGTGCCTCACTGTAGCCATGTCGGGGCCCCACGCTTTCTCTCTCTTTAAAAAATAAAAATAATGATATGTCGTCGTTTTCTGTCTTTACCTGTCATCCATCCAATGGCACCAAAAACAAGTCTTTCACTGCATTTCCCCTCTATTTCCTAAATATAAAATCTTCACTTCAAACCCAAATCGAAACTTTTTTTCTTCCTCCTCTTTCCTCGCTCCTTCTGTTTCGTCTTCGAAATTTGCTTCACTTCTCTTCTGGGGTATTGTTTTTGATCTCTGTTTATCACCTAAAAATGCCTGCTTGGTGGGGGAGGAAGTCAAGCAAGAACAAAGAAGAGACCCAGAGTCCACATGAGGGTCACGGTAAGTTTAGCAAATTCTCGGGTAAAAGTAAAACTGATGAGATGAGGAAAGGGGATAAGGAGAGTCCGAGAAGCGTCGACGAGGGGATTATCACGCGGAATTCGCCGCGTTGCAGCAGGGATTTTGGTGTTGGTGGATCGTCCGGGTTCTTGGGTTTTGATTCGGATTCTGCGGAAAAGCGAAGGCATCCTCTACCTAGACCGTCGGTCTCGTCGATGCAGAGTGATCATGGGATCGGGCTGGGATCCGCCTCCGTTTCTGTCTCTAGTGTCAGCTCTTCTGGGTCATCTGAAGATAATCAGATTGTCAACGATCAGGCTCAATTCGGTGCCCACAGGTTTTTTCCTTTCTTTTTTTTTTTTCCCCCTTAAAATTTTCAAGCACGAGCTTTTCTGATATTGATATTTGATTCTCCTAATTAGAGGAAACCCATTTATTGGTTTTTTCTATTACTAGCAATTGATATAAGCAATTATATTGGCTTTTTGATTGCTTCTCTCTTCAATTATTATTGTTTTTTCTTTTCTTTTTTTTTCTTTTCTTTTCTTTTTTTTTTGGGTGTCAGAGTTTGCTTCTGGGGTTTTTCATGGCTGCTTAAGCCAGCATACAGGATGTGCTCTGGAGCTCTGCAGTCTGTTATTTTTCAGCTTTTACCACTGAAATTCTCTATCTGAAATTTTTATTGTCATAGTTCTGTTTATCCAATCCAATTCTCAGATTTTAGGAATTAAGTTTTATGGTACCTCGTACATAGTAAACAAAATGTTATGTGGCTTAGTCTTTTCTGATCTATGTTTCCTAAATATAATTAAGTTTTAATTAACGAATTTGAATTGAGCACAATTTTATTTCCTAGTTTTTCTTCTGCTAGCTTGTCTCTATTGGCGTACATGTGTACTTCATTACTAGTACTTCATTATCATAGATGCAGATGACTGAAATTTCAGAAGTTATATATGGTAAAAGTATTTTCAGACAAAATCTGAGCATATTTATGAGAATTGTTTCATTTTGGTTTCCATGAGCTCATGATGATTTGAATCCAGGTCATATGTTGATTCCAGGGGCCATAGTGAAATCAGGTTTAATTCGAGGGCTAGAAGCCCTGGTTCAGGGCCAAGAGGACCTACCAGCCCAAAATCACCTTTACATCCACTGTTGTCTGGATTGAGTCTCGAGTCACCTACAGGGAAACAAGAAGATGGGAAATCTCAAAGTCACCGGCTGCCTCTTCCACCAGGTTCTCCTAGTAGTCCCTCCTTGCCTAGTTCAAGAACTTTAGGAGTGAGTGATGGTACATCTTGTGCTCTATCCAAATGGAGAAAGGGGAGGCTCTTAGGAAGGGGAACGTTTGGGCATGTTTATGTTGGATTTAACAGGTAAAGGTGGCTCTCTGTAGAACAGTTTTTGAAAGCAAAATTTTATATTTTAATGAAGTGTCAATTATATTAGGAGAGATAAATATAATTCAATGATAGAAATGGATATTCTCATTCAAACATGGTTATTGCTGCATAAAATGATTATGTTCCTCTATACTGACAGTATTCAAACATCCTTTAAATGATGTAAACCCATGATTTCAAATAAGGAGCAAAAGACCTTTTATAAAATTATAGTATATTATAAGTTTTTATTGTAGTTCCCTAAATATTTTGCATGAATGTTTGACAGTGAAAGCGGGCAAATGTGTGCGATAAAAGAGGTCAGGGTTGTTTCTGATGACCAGACATCAAGAGAATGTCTCAAGCAATTAAACCAGGTAACTTTTACTTTCTTTAAATGGATCATGGTACTTCTATCTCCCCTGTGTTTCACTTTTTAGTAACTCTTACTTTTAAATTAGTTTACGAGTTTCGACATTGATCTTCTTCTTCTTCCTCTTTTTTTTTTTTTTATGGAATCCTTTATCATGTTTACAGGAGATAAATTTATTGAGTCAACTTCATCATCCAAACATTGTTCGATATTATGGTAGTGAACTGGTATGGATTTATCTACTGATTTAAGGGCCATGATGAGCATAATTCACATGCATTGTGAATAAAATTGATGGAGTGGAGAAGATTTGATCTCCTCTTTGTATGATAAATCTGATTGCCATATTTTCAGGGTGAAGAAACACTGTCAGTTTACTTGGAATATGTCTCTGGTGGCTCAATCCACAAATTATTACAAGAATATGGTTCCTTTAGGGAACCTGTTATTCAAAATTATACCAGACAAATTCTCTTTGGGCTAGCTTACCTGCATGGAAGAAATACAGTACACAGGTACTTGGATGCCAATTCTATTTATGGCTTATTGGTGAAATGTTGTGTGGAAGTTTGAATTCTTCTTTCTCTTAGCATTAACAGTTGTTGGTTTCACATTGCAGAGATATAAAGGGCGCAAATATATTGGTAGATCCTAATGGTGAAATCAAGTTGGCAGATTTTGGCATGGCCAAACATGTAAGTTACTGCATCTTACATATGGACAACTAATTTGAATATAAGATACTGAAAAGATCCTCCAATATATGTGGATAGTAAAATAGGAGCAATGTAAGTTACTGCATCTTACATATGGACAGCAAATTTAACTGTAAATTACTGAAAAGATTGTCCAATATATGTGGATGGTAAAATTTCACAAGTGTCAAGCTGCCTCTGTTTGTTGGGAAAAACTAGATGATTTCAGAATTAGAAACTTTCTTTTGTACAGATATGCCAAATAAATAGATACAAGGTTGTCTTTGTTATTAAAAAAACATTGACTTTGTCATTGTTCTTGCATCTTGCTGTTTTCTTCCCATTTATGTCATTTTTTTATCTTTTATAATTAAGAGATATGCTGATTTTCTTTTTGTCTGAACTAGATAACAGCTTCTTCATCTATGCTTTCATTTAAGGGAAGTCCTTTCTGGATGGCACCAGAGGTATCTCTCTCTCTGCCTCTTAAACTACGTATCACAGAGGAACTCAACCAGCCTCTTCCTCAATTTACCCACTATTTCTCGATAATCGCAGAGCATTCTCTCCTCATGTTGGTTTTTTTTTTTTTTTTGGTTATCAGGTTGTAATGAATACAAATGGATACAGTCTTGCAGTGGATATATGGAGCTTGGGATGTACTATTCTTGAAATGGCAACTTCAAAACCACCTTGGAGCCAGTATGAAGGGGTTCGATATTCAATAACCAGAACATTTTTACAGGATTTTATTTATCCTTTTTATATCTAGCTTTGTAATGTTTACAAGACAATTCCTTCATTATTTGGATTCGACAGGTGGCTGCAATATTTAAAATTGGAAACAGCAGAGATGTTCCAGAGATTCCTAATCATCTTTCTAATGATGCAAAAGATTTCATCAGGTGTTGCCTGCAAAGAGAGCCATCATTGCGTCCTGCAGCTGCAAAATTGCTAGAACACCCCTTTGTTTGCGACCAAGCAATTACAAGAATAGCTAACATCAACGTAACCAAGGATGCGTTTCCTTACTCTTTTGATGGGAGCAAAACACCGGTACATGTCCTTCAATTATTATTTCCTTTTCTGTGGAAATTTCAAATTGATTTGATTTTAGTCCTTTTATTTATTAGGACTTTTAATAAATAGGACCAAGTTGTGAGTTCCCTTATAAAATAAACATAAGTACTTGCATATACATATTGTTAAAAGTGAGAAGAAGAAAGGGTGGAATATCTGGTTATGCCTTGTTTAGAACACATAAGTAGTTGCATGTGCATTTTGTTAAAAGATTCCTCCCCTCCCCTCCATCCCCCTCAAACCAAACATACCATAAGAGAAGAAGAGAGGGTAGAATATCTGGTTATGCCTTGGTTAGTGTGCTAGCCATTTTATATATTTTGATATGATGAAATAACAATGTAGTGGCTTCCTAATTTGGGGTATAAACTTGCATACAAAATCAAGGATTTGAATCCTTTGGTTTGGTTTCGAATTTGACATGATAACTTAAAAAATGCTTAACTCACTGTCCATTGAATTCTGTATTGCAAAAGGTGTCACCTTGGCTCACTTGGGCAGCGCTTATGCACTAGGTGGCACTATGCTGCCCACCTTGACCTGGGTGGTAGGGCAATACTGCCCTACCCCTTTTTGGGGCTTTTTTTTAGAAAAAAAGAATTTAAACCACATTGTTTTGTTTCTCTACTTTTTTAACAAATAAAGAACATGCAGCGTTGGGTGGTACCAAAGGTCAAAAAGGGCAAAAAACCCTAAATGCCACGCACTTAGGGTTTTCTACAGCTTCAGTTCTACTTCTTCCTCACTTGAATTAATTGATTTCAGTTATGTTGATTTTAGACTTGTATTAACTTTTGTTGATTAGTTGATTTTAGACTTTTAAATATATTTGTTCTTTATTTTCCCCAAATTTTCTGAATTTTTCAGATTTTTAATTTTTCTTTAAAAAAATGGTGGCACACAAATCGCTAAGGCGGTTTGGGTGTGGTCTGGGTGCCGCCTAGGCTCTAGGTGGAGGCCTGTCACCTGGCACCCAGCACCTTCAGCAACACTGCTTGAATTCAAATCCTCCTATAATGGATGTGAATCCCTGACCTCTAACACTGCTTCTTAATCTGGACCATAAATTTTAACCATGCCCAGCTTGTTACAAAGGATATTCACTCTAGACTCTAGCAATGATATTGCAAACATATCAGCAAGCTGTTCATCAGTCATGACATAGGAGCAACGAGTCCTTGAAGTTTCTCTCTCATAGTGACAATCAGCGTCAATGTATTTAGTATGCTCATGGACTACCTATTGGATGCAAATATGAAGTACAACATGATTATCACACCACAATTTTATTGTTTCAGCTCTCTTGATTTCAAATCCACATCAACTCACATGTAGGTTGGGCCATAATTCTAAATTCAAACTGTGCACTAGATCTTGAAATTATTGGTTGCTTCTTTATTCAGATAGCTCAATATTTTAACAACCACTCTAGTGTGGAACCTGTGGACATGACATAAACTGATTAACTACACTAACAGAAAGGGCAAGATCACCCCTTTGTACATCCTTACTAACCTTCTATATCTGTTTGGAACTCTAGATACTCAAATGAATCTCCATCATCAGGCATTAACTTCACATTTGAATCCATGGGCCTTCCAATGGGATTGGCACCGATAATACTTTTTGTCATTCAACAAATCCAGAACATAATTTGCATTATGATAAAGTTTGCCTTGCTTGGATCGTGCTACTCCTATTCTTAGCAAACACTTAAAATCCCCTGAATCTTTGGTTTGAAATTGCTCTAAAGGAAACATCTTAGAGATGCTATACTGCAGAATCACTACTAGTAATCACAATATAATCTATGTAGTACTTTCACTGCAAGTAGGATGCAACGTTAAAATACACTGAATTGTCACTATGACAACAGGGGAGGCCAAATTGCATTACAACATCATTAAACCTGCTAAACCATGCTTTCAGAGGCTTCAGCCCGTAAGCAAAATGAACATTGAAAGTTAAGACTTTACCATAGGTTTGCAGCTATAAATACTGTAATATAATGACTACTGAACCAGCAAGTGAACTAATGGTTCATCGTCCAAGCCTCAGAGCTTGGGACTTGTAATCTACCTTCTTTCCTTGCATCTGATGAAGAAGAAATATGAGGACCATTCCTGGATCTGCTTTCCAATTACCATTTGAAAAAGGTTTTCTAAATAACAATTCTGCAATATTACAGATCTTAAATGCTGTTTGTTTGGAAATTATATTTCTTTCCAAGTTTTTTGTGCTTGCTGCAATTTTATCACACACTTGAAAAGAAATGTTGGAAATGTTTTTAGATTATATGTCCTAAAAGGGAATAGTTAACGATGCTGTTCAACACTTTCTTAACCAAAGTGAAGTTCTATATATGTTCTCCTTTGTGTTTTGAATCTGTTTATCGTCTTAAGTTGGATTAGTGCTGATTTCTTTGGTTATTTTAACTTTCTAAGCAGCCAGCATTAGAGCTTCACTCCAACAGAACAAATCGCATCTCATTTGATGGAGATTATGGGACAAAGCCATTTGCCACAACCTCAAGAACTTCTAGGAGTCCAATGTATGAACATTATTGTGTTTTTTGTTTATAGTTTGTAATTCATTTGTATGTATTTTGGAGTAACTTACAAGCCAGTTTACTTATATTCAGGGATAATGCAAGAATGATCACGTCACTGCCTGAATCTCCATGTTCAAGCCCCTTAAGATATGGACCAGCACATAAGAGCTGTGTTCCTTCTCCTCCCCATCCAGCTTATCATTTGGCAGGACAAAGCAGTTACAATTTGAGTGACTTCTCAGGATATACAACCAGACCATACACAAGATATACTCATGATTTTTCGCACGAAACTTCTCCACTGAGAATTCAAACACCTGGCACCCCGCCAAGAACAAGACCCATTTGAGTCCTTGTAAATACACCGAAGGACAAATATCTTTTCCTGAGTCTTCCCAATATGCTTGGAGGAGTTGAAGTACACTTCTCATGGGTAAAGTATCCTTCTTTCCAAGTAAATTTCACAGTATACAAATTCCCACCCCGTGAATGAAGTGATTGAATTTTCCCTCTGACGGCTGCTACTTGAGAGTAGGACATTATTGTGGAGTACTGAACCTTTGCTGCTCAGGAGAGATGCCGGAATTCTTGGTATTCTTAACTATCTGTTGATTATTGTATGGGGAAGGCATCGACTGTTTGTAAGTTGTAACATTCACATTGTATACTAGTTCATGTCTTAAATACCGTTATACTTTCAGCTAGATGTAGAACTGTGCTCGTGTTCTTCCTCAAGGTCACACTCTCCATTGTAGAACATACAATAAACTATTCATTTCTAGCATGTTGTGTACACTGAAGTCTTCTCAAATGTGCAACTTTGATTGGTTTTTTTTTTTTTTTTTTTTTTTTTTTTT